GGCTATCTGGATTTTTTCGTTCTGAGAAACGTGGAGTGACGAGATGCGAAAGCAAAAGGAAAGAAACAGCTCTACTTATCGTTACCGTTCAAGGTGGACGGGATAGCTGAATCAACGTCTACAAAGCTTTCTGACGCCATCTCTAACGTATTACGCAGCAAGCCTCTGGCTTAAGTTCTACTCAGTGCCGCACTGAAGCAACAAGTTAAATACAGAATTTCAAGGTCAAGTACTTCCTTCTGTGTATACTTCCTCTTGCTTAAGTCGATCAAGGTATATCGGAAGCACTACCAGGACACTTTTCGACAGAACCAGGAAACACTGTCATGCTTGGCTGTATGGCGGCGTGACTAGATCTGTGGCAAGCGCATTGTCTACAAACCTGATCGACTCGAGCCACGAGGTCAGAGCGCATGAGACGTTCCAAGCCATCTACCGCGGATCCAGATGCCACACAAGAGCGGTTAGATTTTGTCTACTGGCAGCGGCCGAGGTAATAGCGATGTGGTTTCATAACGTTGACCTACGCGCGCACAAGAAATTGGTCCAGGTACTAACACCACCCTGGTCCCCCTGTAACACGGACACATAGTGTGGACAACGCCACACACACACACACACACACACAAACACAAACACACTATTGATCGCCGTGTGGCCAGTCACCCAGCTTGGTCACTCAGACCATCTGGTATTTGAACCTGTACCCTTATCTGATGTTTACGTTCCTGTCATTCATTTGTGGTGTATTAGCCTGATGAGCAACAACTGGTAACTTGCATTTTCCTTAATATTTCTCCATTTGGTTTTAAATCCGTGATAAATCCATTGTTCCGTTTGTTCATTATAATCTGGCTAACATTTTTTACGTGTCGTACAGAAAACGTGAATTAGTTCAACACTGCCAATTTCAGCCTTCTGAACACACGTCATCAGACCGTTCAATTCTATCGGCAAGGGCCATAGATGCTACAACGCGCTTTCCATGCTTGATGTCTTGTCATGTTGATAATAGTGAAACTTGTTCGTTTGAATCAGCGTGAAATTCATCACGCAAAGTAATTCAACATTTCGACCTTCTCCACCAGCTTTGTGGAAGTTCGACGACTCAATCTTTTCGAAAATTCTTGGCGCCTACGTGAGGCCGTTATTCAAACCTGTTTACTCAGGCGAAAGCACCAACTCACCGAGCTCGATATTGCTCAACGCAGGGCGGAAGAGAGCATCTAGGGTTTAGTCCGCCTTCCTTATTAACTCAAGCTAAAATCTCTACGAGTACACTGCGGAAATTGACGCAGTATGCGGGGCGATCTCATAATGGCATTTCAGATTCTAAGAAACCCCAATCACCGTTGCCACCATTGTTTAAAGGGTAGAAAAAACATATTTGTGGGGCCATAAGTCTAAGTCATCCCCGCAGTACAGCGGACTTGAATACCGAAAAAACCTTTTCTCATCCTAATATCACTCCTCTCGAACTCCCGCTCCGCGCCTGCAGTTAAGGCCCTCATATCATCACTATTCAAAAGATGACTTGACATCAGACTGGCATATTTACACTACGAAATATAGCCCATGACCATCAGATGAATGATTTATAGAAGGACCAACAGTGGACAGTGTATTTTCTCTCGTAAATTTCATGCAGAAATACTCACAGCTGTGCTACTAAAAATTTCTTGGTGAGTCGTATATTCTGCGTGAACGTTTATCGGCATTGTGTTTTTATCTGGTAATTTTCACGCTAACCATGCGGCGGTGGGAAGAGGACTAACCCCAGTGTTATCGCAACCATTGGATTCTGAACACAAAAATAATTCCCATGATACCTTCTAGTTCATTTACTAGGTCCAGGTACGCCAGACGTCAGAGGTAGCCTGATATCAACGTCAGAGTCAATCTGTGTTCGGTTTCAAAATCCGGACCCGTGTGCACATAAAGTTTTATTCAGATCCTCGATCAGTTGGTCTCATGCTACCAAAACTAACGATGACTGTCAAGTTAATCCCTCCGGTTTGAAGTTGTCCAAACTATTGACGTCACCAATCGACTTGATATTTCGATCCAGCGACTAGTCACATTTAACTCAAGTGTATGTTCTTGCTGCTCTAAATCTTGTTTATATTAGACTGATAATGAAACAATTCATCTACACTTTTCTGAAGAGGCACGTTTATGACTAGAGTCCGCGTCAATAGAGTACATTAATTCAGAAACCAGTGAGAATTGTTCTAGTGTCTCCGCTAGTTCAAATGAGTCTTCCAGGCAGTGCATAGTCAAGAGTTTCTGCACGGGATCTAAGAGTTTCGCCAGCCACCGAGCAACGCTGTGATAAGGAGAGTTGTTCATGCATATAATCGGACACAGTGGGTTACCTGGTTTGTGTAATTTAGACGCGCCCCTCATTCTCGGTGTTTGCGTCTTAGTCCGTTTCAGCTGCGTATATGGAGATAAAACCTACCCAACATCACTGATTTGTAAGCTCTGTCGGATGTACCCGGTCTGGATATCATTGAACGCCATTAATTAGATGCATTGTGGCCCTTTACTTGATGTCGCCACGTTCTGTGCAACTTTGAACTGGACTAGGTTACCTATAGACATCCAGCAAAGTGTCGCTGCTTGTTCAACACTCCATGTATTTACCGTTTCAGCCGGAAGGATGTGGATACTATGTCAGGGTAGATTAATTTTGAGTTTAAATTGATTCACGAGGAATTTTAAACTAAGGATTTCTGATATTTTCAGTGTTCCACTTCCTATTTCTCGGAATCATGAGGGGCTACTAACTCATAATATGTATCTTTCCAATGCAGCCTCATCCATCCAGCACAGAGGTTATTGCTGGGTTGCTCATATTGCTCAACAAAAATTTCGATTTCAGAAGCGGTTGAAAGCAAATACTTGTTTTGAAGTTAGATTTGTAGTATCCGCCGTATGGTTGGATTGCACAACGCAATCCGGATTAAAACGTCGGTCGGCTTTGAAATAGACCTAAGCTATGCCGAACATAAGGATCGTTTCCGAAATGTTGGTGTTTCGATGTTGCTGCTCCCAATGCTAACATCCCATGACCGGTTTCGTCTTCGTCTGGACTCATCAGATGGAGATAGATTGAGTTGTGGTAGGTGCCAGTTCTACTTTAAAATAAACAGAGGGCTTAATGGAAATCGCGTGTGGCAATCCAGCCACCCGGCGGGTACTCTACGTCCAACTTTGAATTGTTTAACTCTGTGCAATGTGTTGCTCCCGGGTCTGAGTGCCATAGTGAAAAGGGCGTCAAACCTTGACCAGCAGACACCTAATTCCACCTCAGCTCAGGCTATCTCCAATGACGAGTCCAAACCAGGACGAAATCAGTCATGTGGTGTCAGTGTTGGGAGCAGCAACACCAAAACTGTTTGTAAACAAAACCCAAAAGTCATAAATTCTGCATCCGTTCCATACAGATCTCAAGATGTCGAATAAAACTTGGTTATGTAAGGCCGTTTTAGATAGTCTAACATTCTTCAACTGACGCCTGGGGTTTGTTACTTGGTTGGCCCACTGGTACTATATATTGCACGAAGTCAACTTACATGCATGGTGCTCTGGAAGTCTTGACCAAATACGTTCAAAATGACGTTCATGTCTAAGCGTGTTTTATTGTCAGGTGAAGTACGAAGTTTTAAAATAATTGGAAGGCTTGGAGTATCAGCTTATCTAATGAGAGTGACATATGGGCGCATCTAATGCCTTTAGCATGGTGGGAAGTCAAATTCAATAGAATACGAGTGTCCATCTGTTGCTGTAGTGACCTCATCTCCATGTACACTCGCCGCACTGCGAATTGTTGAAATTATGCTTAAAAATGAACGCATTGCTCGGCTTGAATAATGGACTATAATCTCGGGTAAACATAAAATTAGATCCCGTTTGTTCAGTAAATATAGCTTGAAGATATGATTAGGTGAATCATCTTGATCTTGAGTTGTTTCCACTGGTAATTCCGCTAAACACGGCGTACCGTAGACAAGCGACATGCGCTCAACTCCTACCTTCATTACCACATTCGTTGCACTGATACCCAAATGTTTATGATGTTCGGTAACAAAGATGAGATTTTTGGGCAGTTGCAGCCAAAAATCTATCCACGAAGTGACAACGTTACCTATTACTTCCAAAACTCTATTCCCTGGATTTACATGCTCTCTCGCGTACACACTTTAAGCAAAACGTTTCATGCATGTCGAAAGACTTTAATAAGACAGTAATGTTGCCTCTGTTACATTATTTTAGTTTTGTTAATTAGGAAATAATTTGTTCCTGAAGCGCAATTATATCGGTCTGTTTATGTCCAACCTCTTAATAGCTTAAGATTGAAGAAATAATTAAATGCGACCTTCCTTGCCATTGCCAGGCACAATCAAACCGAGTCTTACGATTAATTCATACGGCAGGATCGTAGAAAGCATTATTGTTCGAGTTGTGCAGAGTGGTTCTCATCCGAATTTCTGGAGGGATTGCCAAGTTTAAGTTGTTACAGTCTGAGAAACTGATATTAATTATTGAAACAACAAGAAAAGAGTGGTTCAGGTTAGTGTGTCGGATTGGAGCAACAGCCTTTTCCTGATTTTAAGCACATCGGCTTTCCTCACTGACGTTAGTCACGTTCCTCCTTGTATATGATACATACCAGTGTAACCTGTAATCTAACTCTGTATATTTATATCTGCTGCATACAAATGTATTCGTCACTACTGGCTTCAAAGTTTTTCTAAGATGATGAGAAACTACATCAGCTCAGCTGCCTGACAAGTACACAACTGCCGGGAAGATGTAAAGCGCTCCCTGAAGTATAGACGCAAAGGTGGCGCACCTATTAACTCCTTTATTGTGATTCTTTTGAGCATACTCAGAGAAATTACTGTATGTCCATTTGTAATGCCTCCCATTTAGGTCCAGTGAATGAACATATACGTATTGGAGCGAATCGGAACATAGCAACGGTAATTCGAAGGATGAAATCTGAGCAGCAACAAAAGGTTTCGAACTCTCCAGTCCAAGCAACTCTATTCACTTGCGACGAGGGAGTGATTCTGGACAAGCGCAGCTCTGACTGTCAGCCAACAACTCAGTGGAACATTTCGTCTTTCGAAGTCTCTGCTGCTGCCAAACAGATTGGGGAATTACTTATAAGCGTTTGTGATTCGGTTGAGTTCCTACTGACTGATAAATTACTTTTACTATCTGAAGTTGCCGGACGCATTGTCCATCTGACAGAACATGTGACATCTGAAGTCAGAGCCGCTGAGTTTAAAGTGAGTTGTTAGTGCTCATAAAGTCGAGTAATAATTGACTTGTAATTCCTTTGGGTTTGATCAGTAGGAACAGTGAACAATGATTCATCACGGGTAAAAACATATGTGCTTGACAAGTCCCGGAGGATGGTTGGAGTAAAAATTAAAACTTGAAGGATCATCGAATAAGTAAATCGTTCTTTCAAGCGTCCCTCGAGTTAAATGCACTGCTGCATAACGATAGTTTGAAGTGAGAATGAGATGTGCACTTGCAGAATAGTATAGGGAGCTGTTATAGTTCAGTAAGTGTCTGAGAAATAAAAAGGGAAACGACAACGCTCACTCGTTTGTTTCTTCATTTGATAGATGTGGTTTGTTAATCCAGTTTAGCTACATCCAAGCTAATCACATGGACACTTCTGCATGTATACTCACCGCCACGTTGCGGAGAGGGCCGTTAAGCACATCATCAGGTTTGCGTTATCTCGTCCTCCAAGTGGAACGGACCATATCAAGCAATACAAGTTTTAAAGCGTTTTATCAAGGCGTTTTCTGAATAGCTTTAATGTAGGAGCAAGGATGACGTGAGACAGAAGAGCATTCCAGGCGCGGGAAACACAGAGGGAGAAAACGTCTCGTCGACAATCAAGTCGACTGTAGTGCGTAGCCAGTTTGAGCTGATGGCCTCTCAGGTTGGTATTTTGGTTCAGTTGCAGCCGATTGCGACATGGGTGAATTAGGTTTGTCAGTATTACGTAAACCATGATTAGGTCTCCTTGGTGACGTCGATATTCACCACTGTACATCCTCAGGAACTTCAATCTGCGTTGGTAGGAGAGATGAACGATCCTCTACCTTCTGGTGCTTCAAGTGCATCAACGTCGCGTTTGCGCCAGGGAGGCCAGGCCTGGATCGCATATTCCACGTGAGGCCTCACGCATTTGCGGAGAGATTGATGGCTCAAAATTACCGAAAGCCTTCCGTAGGAGTCCAAGATGTTGACTGGCTCTTTTTGATACCTTTTCAGTCTGTCCCGAGCAATCAATATCGTACTGCACGATCACTCCGAAGTCGTCTTTTTGAGAAGCACGTTGTAACTGCTGGTCCCCAAGTCGACGTTCATAGATAAGCTGATGGCGTATGCTTACGACTTTGCACATGGTCACATTGAACTGGAGCCGATTTTCGGATGACCACGCTTAAGCCCTGTCGAAATCGCTCTGCAATGCGATGTGCTCATCAGATGTCCTGATATCATGCAAACTTTTGATATCATCTGCAAAAAGTAAGAAATTCAACTGCACCACAGTGCCAAGCTCGTTGATGAATGTGAGGAATAATCCTAGCCCCAGTACCGATCCTTGAGGCATGCCACACTGGACGTCAATTGGGTCGGACATGGAGTTGCGGATCCACATGAAGCTGACATTGAGGGAGGAATTTGCCGATCTAACCGAGTAGAGGGTCACCGATTCCATAGCTTCCAAGCTTGTGAAGGCGAATGCGGTGGTCAAAGCGATCGAAAGCTTTCGAGAAGCCCAGGTAGACAGCGTCGACTTCCACTCTGGCATCGCCTGACTCTGTCCAGCTTGCTCGGGCTAGCAGCAAGTTTGTAGTGCAAGATCAATTTCGGTAGCGTCCGTGTTGCTGTGGCACTAGGAGGTTGTTGCACTCAAGATATCCCATGAGCGCCTCTGCAATTATACGTTCCATTACTTTGGATAAACTTGAGAGGAGAGTGATTGGACGGTAGTTCGAGGGCTCCGGACGTTCATCACTTTTGTAAATAGGAGTGACTACTGCATGTTTGTACATTGTCGGAACCTGCATTTCGTGGAGACAAAGTTGGAAGAACCGAGCTAATGTTTCGGCAAGGTTCAAGGCCGCTGTCTTCAAGGCCTTTGGTTTGATGTCGTTCACGCCAGGTGAGCTGTGCATGCGCAATGACATTAGCGTTTTCATCACATTGACTACCGTGAACGATACGTAGGTTAACACGGATGGCGATGGGATCTGTGTCAAAAGCGGATGAAATGATTATTCACTTCGGAAAGTATAGATGAAGTGTTGGCGAAGCACTTTGGCTGTATCTTGTGCGGTTTGCGTAAGACCATCGGTTGCACGTAAAACCGAGATCCCGCGCTGCACTGCGGAGCTCGTTGACGTGTTTATACAGCCACTTGGGATGTGCACTGAATTTCGCCGCAAGGTTCTGTTGGTGCTGGAGTTTGTCTTCGCCGATCATCCTGACGCAGTGATTTCGCTGAGTTGTGTAAACACCCCAGGTCAGGTTACTTGGACAGACATTATAAGCTCGACAGTCTGATTCCTTAAAGGCCATGCATTTTCTAGTAAGGCACCTCAGGAATAAATTCACTTTCTTCGGGCGAAGGGCTTTACTTTACGACGCATCTGCTACTAGCTCGAGGAATTGGGTGACGAACAACATCCAGGCGACATCAGGCGGCTTCTCGGCCAGGAATCACCAGGCAGTTTCTTGAACGAGGTTGGACAGGATATCGTAATGTGTAACGACATAGGTTTCCACCTGGTTCTCACTGATGTACTCCGAGTAACAGATGTGACGAAACAGCAACATCGCGTGATCGCTACGGCCAAGTAGCGCATCTATGGTCACGGTGTTGACCATTAGTTCCTCGTTAGAGTGCACAAGATTCAAAACAGAGGGCGTCACTCGTTCTGAATAGCGTGAGTGAAGTGACATGGTGGTACAGAGGTATTTCGGCGATCACCTCTTGCAAATCAGCCTTGAAGTGTTTGTTGTGTAATGCTGGAACTTCGACTGCGTGCAGGTTGAACTCCCCCACCAGAAGGACTTGATTTTATGGTCGTGCCAGGAATTGTTTCATCGCAGAAGCTAGGCACTGATCCATTTCCAAGTTGGATAGTGGAGGGCGGTAAGCTATTGCTAGCAAACGCACATCACGTCTCAGGTGCATACGACACCAAAGAGAATCGACTACTTTCGTTTCTGGGTCCTCAATTACATCAACATGCAGGTCGGATCGATAATACAGGATCACTCCCCCTCCTTTACTAGGTCGATTGTTTAGTATTTAAGTCATGCTAGATTGTGCAATCTCAGCATCCGTAATCTCCGTCACCCAACTGTGTTTAGGTGACCATAACTAGGTCCCAAGGCGTGGAGGCTTGACTAATGGGAAGTTTGCTTAGCTTACTGAGAAGAACTTGTGCATAGGTATACAAGCACAAGAGGGCATCATTGATCAGTAGCGTGTTTGTGAATGCTGGTTTCTAGTGTGGGTCTATGCCGACCCTTACGGGGTAGGCTGCCGGACGCTTTATTGTAGAAGCTGTGACGCGAGCCATAGGGTCAGTTCAGGTTGTTGTGTAGATCTTTCAGCGCCAACAAGAGGGTGACCATCATCATGATAATCATTAAACACGTTAGATGCAGGTGGAAAACACCTCAGCTATGGTGCCGTAATATAAAAGACAACAAGAAGAAAAAATCAGTGGCACGCAGGCTGAGTCCCCCCCAACGGATGAACATCGTTCCGAAAAGCTAAGAGCCGGCTATCGTGCCGTAAAATCTTATGTTATGCTTAACGAATGCGATCGTGATTGGAGGGGGAAGCTAAGCAGGAGGGTGATGGAAAAGGGAACTCACAACACAAAAGCTACTGGGGCCGGCTCCTATCCTTGTCAGCAAGTGTGTCCAACCAAACGTGTTCATCGTCCTTAAGACCTCAGCCAGGCAGTCGGGATGCACCAACCGACGCCAACTTCGGAGTGAGGGTTTTCATTTCTCTCGACCACGTCATCACTTGGCCTCCCCTCATCCTCTTCCAACCGCACCCACAAAGCGCAAACAATGCACGTCGCGGAAGTCGGTGTGTTGAAATGCGCGACTCGAGGCCCAGCCATCGGAGCCTGATACGTGATATAATGGTGCTGAGCGTTTCACTCTTCCTGCACCTAATACGCCACGCCGAACATGCTCATTAGTTACGCGGTGCGCCACCAGATATGAGCTAAGCTACGAATACAGCGATGATCGAATGTGAGGAATCGCTTCATGTCAGTCGACCTGATGAGCCAGGTTTCCCAACCATATAGGAGAGTTGAACGGACGGCTGCGTTGTAAACTCCGCCCTTCAGGGCGAGTAATGTGACGTCTGCGCCACAGGTGACGGAGATTGGCAAAAGCACCTCGAGCTCTTGCTAAACGGTACGTAACCTCATTTTCGATCCCAAGAGCGCTAATGTAGCTGCCCAGATACTTGAATTCCTGAACGACTTCTAGCAGATTACAACAAAGCGTTAGTGCAGGGTTGGGTCCCTGCCAACCTTGGAGAAGTAATTTGCATTTCGATGAAGAAAGGCATAGTCCAAAACGATTGACAGCCAGTGCTAATCGGTCCAGTGTAGCTTGACATGTTTGGGAGCTGTCACAGATTAGAGCAATATCCTCCGCGTAGACTAAGTCAAGAAGTCGCTCAGCAGGAGGTAGATCCACACCTTCTAGATCGTGTCCAGAGAACGCTGTTTCCAAGACTTCATCAATAGCGAAGTTGAAGAAGTTAAAGTGACAGCGGGCATCCTTGTCTCACACCGTTGGTGATACTGAACGGTGGCGACAGTTTGCCATAAACCCTCAATCTGCCCGAACTGTGCGCGTACAGCGTTTTGATAATGTTTACATATTTATCAGGCACACCTTTCCTCAGCAGGCAGTCCCAAAGGGCACGTCGATCGACAAAGTCGAAGACACCTTTTATGTCAAGAAACACGACAACCGTGAGTCGTCAATAAATATGACGGTGCCATAACAATTGACGCAATGTGAAGATGTGGTCGACGTAGCCCAGACCTCGACGAAATCCGGCTTGCTCTTCACGAATCTGACTTTCACGAGTGCCAGTCAGTCTGTGGAGAATGACAGACGCAAGCAACTTAGAGGCAGTTGAAATCAGACTGATCCCTCCATGATTGCCTTATTCCGAACGGGAGCTTCTCTTGAAATTTGGGACAACGACGGAGCGGCTCCAGTCTGTTGGAGCAGTCTCCTGCTCCCAAGGTTTCACGAGCAACTCACGTAAATAATCTATTAGAGCGAGTCCCCCGAATTCGAAGAGGGTTGGGGGAATTCTATCTACCACTGCGTCTTATGCAATTTCAACATCTTGATCTCACGTTCGACTTCTGCGCGTGTGGGCGGATCCAAGGAGACGGCCTAGGGAGAAGATCACTCAATGCTCGCAAAAGAAACCGATAACCCAGATTGGTTAAATTGCATTGCAAATTGTTCAACCCAAAGCTCCAAGCGTTTTGACAGGCTGTGCATCGGCTTCCCACTCACGTCGCGTATGTTCTCGCTAACACCAGATCTCTTGCTGACTGTTTCCCGTATCAGACGGAATAACTTAGGATGATTGCCAACGGTAACAGCTGTTTCCATCTTAGAGGCACGATGAGACCACCAGGCTTCGCAGTCTTTCTTCAGGCTATCAAGTAGTTTTCTCCTGAGAATTTTGCTAGCCTTATTGTATTTGTTTCCAGCCGGAATACGTCGACGAGCGTCCATAAGTTCCAGAGACTGTGTAGAGACCCAATGTCCAGTTTGGCCATTTGATTCGCCGCATGAAGACATGCCTGCTGATAGTAACATTTTGACGAATATGCGACCAGTGATCTTTGACGGTATTCATTGGGCGCTTACTCAGCCCGGATGTCAGCGCACTTTGATACACATTTAGAACACCTAGCTTCGACAGATGACTGGTGTTAATACGTTCACCTCGACGTTGCGTACGTCCACCGAAAAGCACCCGGTGGTCGGCGCAGATAAAGGCGTGGCCAGAGCCCAAGCTCGTGCTCCAAATCGAGCGACAGTTTTGGGCATAGTCTATCCATAAGTAATTGACCATAATATGGTCGATTTGCATCCATGGCTGGCCCGGGGCTGGTGGCCGCAAAGTCACTATTCTGTGGGTGCTGTGTCGAAAGTTTATGCTTGCGATAAAGAGACGAGCACCTTCCCACAACTGTAGTAATGGCTCACCGTTATCATTAAGGAAGCCTACATCATGTTGGCCGCTCAGATGAAACTCATCAGATGACAATTTTCTGACTTAGGCGTTTAAATCGCCAGCCAACACAACAGTATCCGTGCTTCTGTAACGAAGGAGATCGGGAAGTTGCTGATAGAAATCTAATTTTACCGGAGCAGTGGTACAGTTTGTATGGTCCTAGGCCGCGATGACAAACAGGCACATTTTGTCCCTGTGGTAGCCGCGCGATTTTACTGCATGGAATGAACCAGCTAAACTAACAGCGCACGTCCGATTGTTGACTGTGATCCAATCGATGAGGGCAGCTTCAGCCCGGGGACTCAAAACAATGCCGACGCCATGTTGACCGGCATTTGAAGATGCATTATCGCCAGACATGCGCAATGAGAATGTGTCGCCAGTGTCGCATGTGGGGGATCGCAAGATAACCACGGAGCTCGAATCTTGCAGGCAGGTCTCTGATAAACAGCAAATATCGATCGATAGGGTCTCTAGTGTGCGGGCAAGTGCTGCCTGTTGGCTAATCTGTAGTGAATTGCGCACGCGGAGGCATACCACCCTTAGACAGACGCGAGAACACCAAAGGAAAACGGTTGAACTGACATTGTCCATTTGGTTGAACATGGACTTGTCGATTGGGTTGGAGCGACACCCTGCTACTATGCGTGAGTTGAAACTAGAAGACGAGCGACTACGGAAGTAAGCTGGGGGAGCCAAGAATTAGGAGATTGAAAATGGGGGGATATAAGTAAAGTTGGAGCGGGACTATAAGGATGAAGAAGCGCAAGAAGGGGTATAAGAAGACGGGAAGGCCTAAGCAGTAGCATCCATACCCCTATCCACCCTGCTCGATGCAGCAGATAGGGCACCGTTGATTATCCTCTGCGGTGGCCAGAGCATCAGCAATTTTTTGAGGTAAGATTCATGGTATTGTGTGAGCAGGATACTGTCAGGTTGCCAAAGCCTAGACAGGAGAACGATTAGGGTTCTCAACCAAAGCCTTTGGTTCAAAAACCTTACCGCAAGGCAGCGGGTTTGGCGTTGGGCTACGAGGAGTCCGTTTTAAGAAATAAGGTGCCACTCACATTCCAAACCCCAACCTGGAGGACCAGGAGGCTGAGTTTGTCTGGCCTCTAACCATTGACCAATCTGGTATGAGTTGCTCTGAAAGTGCAAAAACACCACCCAGCATAGCAAAATATATCTTTGAGGCAAGCAAATCATCGCACCACGGTATGGTCCAGCCTTCTTTAGCTGTCAGTGTGTTTTGGCATTCTTTTCGTTCTGAGCTACACTGTGACAGCATTGTATTGATTTCAGTAGTAGCATCTTTCCACTCTAAATGCAACTCATTAATCCCCGTTTTCTTACTGATCCTTCAGTCAATTCGAATGCATCTAAACAGGAGTGTGAGACGCATAAAACGAGCACCAACTAATCAACTTAATTGTCCAACTAGACTGAAATATATTCAGCCGGTTTCATGCGTGACTTTCCAGTCTCAGTCATTTGACAATGTTATGAGATTAAGTGGAGAAGGCAGGGTTTATAAGAATGCTGAACTCACTTCGCACTACTTGGAGCAGTGTCCTTTTTCTAATTAGATTCCATCACGTGCCGACCAATGGCATGAACCAGAAACAAACTACGAACTAGGAGTAGGGAGTAGTTAAACGATCATAGCTGCCCTCAGAAGTATCCCTTTTGTCTGCAAAGATGGCTTAACAGCTTCGATCAGCTTCTTTTGTGCACACAAAAGCGGTTGATACAACTGAATGGTGATCGCCTCGGCAGTAGCAAGGGTGCGAAGGCGTAGTCCATTCGACTGAAATGGAAGGACACTTTCTAGTACTCGAAATACAGAGACTGGGTAATAAATTAACTTATGTACACGTTGAACGAAAGTATAAGGGTATATCAGTTAGACAATCAAGCTCAAGGCAATCTGCTGGGCTGCTTCAGTTGCTTTCGCGCTCACAATACCGGCCGGTTAACCTCAATCAGTAATGCCTCACTGATTGAGAGCAATTTCTAGTTACGGTTGATCAATAGCACTTTGAAGGCCTTTGGTGGATCCACGTGATGCCCTGGCATCACGAGGTGCATCGTAAAAGACGAGGCGGTGTTCCGGCTCTCCAATTGATCGTTTCCTCCATGTTGTACCATGGATTGCTTCAACCACTTTGGGAAATGCATCATCAGTCTTTTATTTAGTGGAAGTTGCACCGCCGTATTTATTGTGCTTACCGATGGATAGTTCAGAAGAACAATGATAAACCAGTAAACGTTAGCCGTGCAACAGTTCAAGCACAAAAGCTGCCTCCTTAAGTCGACGTTCCTGCTTAGTAAACACTAAGATATCCCCTGCTAGCGTACATACCGCAAATAAGGTTTATAGAAATCCAGCCGCTAGGGTCGCCGGGGAGAACTCGCAAAGAAGTTTAATAGTGTAATTTGAACCTTCCGGAGGTCAAAAATTGAGTCACAGTGACAGACGACAGACTTTCGATCTAGAACATCCTTACTGGTAACTGCATATAATCAGGCTTCTCAGCATCCACTAACTCCCGGCACACATTCGCAGATTATGAAGTATGTACGGATTGGATGAAGTAACTAATTTATAGTTCAGTTACGACAGCTCACAACGCACAATTTAATAGTAATGGCATCTGACGTTTGTTTGATAGAAGGATCATAGTTTAGTTGGTGGAATTTTGAAAATTACCAACTCTACATTAACATTGTGGATACTTTCACTTTTGACTAAGAGAAATGGCCACATAGTTGTGCATTTCAGTGCTGCAATCTGTAGTTAAATTCTCAAGTTACTCTATAACGGTAAATCATTTTCCACAATATTTTTAAAAGCGCTTCAGCGAAGAAGTTCAACGGGAAGTTCCACTAAACCTTACACAATCTCCACCCTGTGATCAATCTGCGCTCGACACCTCAGAGAACAACAAGTTGGGAGCCGTGTGCGAAGCCATTTCTCCATTGCGGTTCTCCCAAACTGTTCAGGGTGTGAGTTACAAGGAGGCTTTCGTTAATCAATCTATCTCGAGCCCGTTTGATATTGCAGCAAGTACGGTTACGTCGAGGGAATGGCAGAGACTGGAAACAACCAGTCTTCAAGTCGCACAACCCCATTTAAACGAAGTGGCCACAGCCACACCCTTGTTTATGGTGAGTTAGGTAGTTGCGGTGTACGCTTTTAAACTGCAACATTTTATGAGAGGTAGTGTAACAAAAAAACTTTATTACCCGTGAACAAATCTTGCTGAGATATATCATTCCTTTTCATCATGCAACTGGTATTATTGGCTCTCCCAACAGTTTTCTGGTCAAATTCTTGTTCTTCTGCATTCTGTCAAGTGTGTGAGAGGTAATATTTTGAATTGAATTGGTGCTACTTCGCATTATAAAGTGACGTTGCGTATTATTTAATTGTAGTTCCCCCCAATGAATTATGGAAGTCAAACAACCGGTCCTCTCACGGCCACTCAGGTTATGTGTATGCGTTGGATTAATGCAGAAGCCAGCATTTTCATGCAACATTTGAAGCAGTCAAGAGATAAACTGGATGATTTTCTGCGTCTCCAATCTGGAGCCTCTTCACTTGCGGCCTTTCGTATACCTTCGACAATTATCGCAAAAGATTTCCCAGAAGAAACTTACTTCCAGGAACTCAAACGTTTGGCCAAAATGTACGGGGCTGAATGGAAAGGAAATCTCGAACGGTTTTATGAGTGCATCAGCAAATGGCAACGTACTTTTTTGAACACGACCGAACAATCGAGATTCGCTCACAGCTCCCCATATGACGTTTTGCCTTCAGTCACCCAAAGTACAGATTGTCAAATCCAGACACATTACTCAGCTTCCAATAGTCCAACTGAGTCACGTGTGCCCACTGAAGTTACTGCGGAACTCGCAGAAGTAAGGAAGGATTATGATACTGCTCCGGGTCTAGGGAAATATTCCTCAAATCTCGGTTCCTCTAAATCATTTCTATCTGTGTCCAGGTTACTGAACAGTGAAGCAGTCAGTGTGAAACAATGCGAAACACAGGTACAAAAAAACCCATTCCTATCAACACGTCAATCAACATGTCTCTTTCAGCAAGTTTTGGCTGAAGCGCACACGAACATCGGACCACAGTCTGCTCAGGAGAAACAATTAATCTGTTCTACTTGTTCTAATTCTACCCACCTGCACGCACTAGGAGCAGGACGAATATGTGACTTCAGTCAGACTGCGGATAGTGATCCCCGAAGGGAGCCCAATACTGGTGCCATGACACATACTACAAGTGCACTCAGTCGTCAGCTTTCAAAGTCGTTAAGTACAGTTTGCAGTTTAAACTCGGCGTCAAATAACGGTGTGGAAGTCCATTGTCAGAATGGAACTGATACCAAGGTGAGTGAAATCATGGTTATCAGAAACGGGCAGGGGCTGAGTTTATACACAAATATCTACGTTTCCAGTATTTGAGGTTCATTAGGGATGCATTGGTAAATAGCAGAAGTAGTGGTACAACCATGAAAACACGTGACCGTCACGGCGGGGACTACAGGTGCAGGACATGTGTGCGTTGATTGATTGACCGCGGTGTGACGCCCGTGCCGATGGTACACTTTCAGATCAATTAAATCACTGACATCCACCCGGGATCAAAGACGCTTTCACAATGGAACATCCTCGGGATTCTCCCATTGTTCCTGCCTCACTTGAACCTGAGTGGTGGTGCGTATGTATTCCCAGCTCAAGTAGACATTGGTACATTGATGCTGCACCTGATTGGAGGAGCTGTAGCGAAACGTTAAATGAGAATAAGGTCAGCCATAGAAGTAGTTCACCTCACAAGAGCAACTCCAGCGTCGGTTTGGCGGCGGACGATAGCAGTGTGTAAGTTATAGGCCCAAGCAATACGCACGTAGATAGTCGGTAGTCGGGTTTTGGAATATCTGTCCTGTGCATTGGATTGCAACAAGCAATCTCCTTTTGCAGCTTGGTTGATTTTGAATTTAACCTATGCAATTCCTATCACTTGGATCGTATCCGACCGAAGTGGATGGTTTTGGTGTTGCAGGCAGCACAGCGCACAATTCAACACGACAGTCGCAGCTAGCAAGGCAGAACCACGCGAAGATTGGATTTGATAGGCTGTTGCGTACCTGAAGTTAATTAAAGCAAACTGTATATGGACGGCCGCAAAATATAGAAGCTTAAGCGTAAACTTAAGCAAATCTTTGGCCATCCTTACAGGTCATGTAATCGCGACAAGTAGTTTGATGGAGCTACGCAGTAGTGATGGGAAAGCGAAAATTTAGTTTTAAGTCCCCATTCCAGACCTGCAATATTGACGCCTTGTTACTCAGAACTGAAACAAACCACACCGTTTTTCAAAGTTTACGTACTGTCAGTTTAGTGAACGCGTTGTTTCTAGCTAAACCAATGCACCGAAAAATCTATGCATTAGATTGAACAATAAAGATCATTAATCATAATAGGAATAATGATAATAATTCCCTAAAACGCCCAAAACGGAACCAAGGACCTTATCCGATCATTATGCGATCTTTGTCCGATCATTTATCAAGAAATGTACACAGGTTGCTCTTCAATAGTGTGAAAGTTTGGTGCCATTTGCGCCCAGGCATCAACCAGATATTTCATACAGAAACGCATGGTGTTTTGGGAGACAATCTTTCCATCAAAACATCGGAATGAAATATGGCGTCGGAAAACATAAGAACAGAGAAAATAATAAACGCAAGTTTATTGTACATCAAGCAATGCACATGGATTTGGAAAGAATTGTTTCAATTTGAGAATAGAACTGATTAGTGGGCGACGAAACAATGAGTTTATGAGACGTATTGGTCCACCTATTCTTATGCTGACCAGCGGAAAACATTTTGGCTAACGCTTTGTGATTCCATGTTGGAAGCAACATGTTAACTAGTAGGCGCAATGCGTTATTCGGAATGAATGAATGGTGTACTAAGAAGGATGCTGCACAGTTTGTAGGTTACTATTGCCTAGAACACGGTTTGGATAGGTGAAGGTCAACGGAAAAGTTAAGCTTTCTAAGGGTCAGCCTTGTATTTACGTCAGCCATTTTACCAAAGCAAGACAAAACCGAGCAAAACTGAGGCGAATTATTGAGGGGAAAGTTGCCTTGATTTGTATGCAGAGTCTGCGTGCCTAACCTACCAATACGTCAGTGGAATGATCGGTGTGCAAGCGGGCAAAATTGAAGTTATGCCTGAAGTGATGATTAAGTGGATTTGGAAATCCAGCCAACCGATTTGCTAGGGGTTTAACTGACACATAGCAGTGGTTGAAGCAAATAAAATCGAAATGAACTATTAAGGGCTAAGGTGCACTGAAAGGTATAAAACTTAAATGACCGATCCCACTATGTTTTACTGGGGTACTGGGCAACAGTAAGCCTGCAGACCAGATAAAACAGGACGGTGTAATAGAAAATTGAAGAAGTTGAATAACAAGAGTTATTCTTCGCAAGTTTGGGAAGAGTACTGTTTTCGACAAATCTCTTCAGGCACTTACGTTTAAAAACAAAATATTAGAGCACAACCAGCTGATGGAGGAAAAGTGGGTTAGTGGAATCACGACAATCATAAACACTAACGCCCTGATCTAAAAAGTGTTTTATCTCAGATAACAGAACACGTGTTGGTTTATCGGTTCAATGCAAATGTTGCCAGACTAATTACGGCCAAGATAAAGGAAACCCCAGCAACAATGCTTAATGTTTACATAGTTCCGGTTATGTTATCCTAATTGCGATCGCTTCGGTCGTCCGTGAGGTTTGTTTCCTGAGGCATTCGGGGTACCATTTTGGCACGATCTAAAATACTTCGAAGGCATCATTGGTCCTAAGTTAATATTGGCTTTAGACCATACGTTTCAGGAGGGAACTACCGGTGCGATTGACGATGCTTTCCGCAAAGCTGCTGGAGGACTGCTCCGCTTCGCCTTTAGCCAGATGCCTGGTTGTGTGTCCAACCTACCTCATACCACAGGTGCATGGTAAATTGATGTAGAACGTAGGATTGAGACCAAAGCAGCAGTCTGTATTTGAGATGTTGTGCCACAAAGGCGTGATTTCTGTAACCAACACGATCGTTTGCAACTTTCAGATCCTTACTGTCTGGAGATTGTTCATACACCTTGTCAACAGTTATTGTGCAACTTGGAAGTGCAATTACCTTGTTGACCGTAGGCATTTATTAAGCTTTATACGAAACTCGTAGTTCAATAAATTAGTCGGATGTAGCTGCATTTTGTTTCATATGCTGATGTACCGATCCAGAAACTTTTGTTGGTAAGTTTACGTTCGGTCCTTCTCTCATTGAGGCAATTTCTGAACTGTATGTATGGCGCGCACTTAGCTTTGAAAGAGGCACATTTATGTTGGTTACATGTACTTCGTGTGGAATAGTGGAAAACTGCGTTGAATTTAGGTTTAACTTAGTTATGTAAAATCACCCAAAGCAGGATGGGGTTGAGTTGGCATCTAGGAAGCGCTTAGTGAATGCACTGTGCACTTGTTCTATTACAATACAGTCATGCTTCCTTGTTTCACTGTAAACCATCCAAAATAATTCAATTGGACGGCGAGCACACGATACATACATTAAAAAATGTGACTTTCATAGCTTGAAACTTCTAAGTACCACTGCAGTGCGTTGCCTTGCTCTAACTTTTGCATAGTGTACTTGTTCCGTGAAGCTGAGGGACTAAGATTAACGAAGCCATAGATCACAAATGGTCTGACAGAGAGTAAATGATGTACCATCATGGGTCAGGGCACTGTGATTGTCACTGCACTTGTGTTATATAGCGATAAATCCATCAGACGTTGGCGACATTTTCCATGTGCTGCACCAAGTTCATAGTGGTTGCAGGTCGAGCTGAATTTCCGTTAGAGTATCGCTTAAACGGATAGGGTGGATGAACTAAGCTGACTTAATGTCCACGGCAAAAAGATGAAGTGCGTCTTATTTACCTTGGGCTGCAAAAGTCATTCACGTACAATAGAAATAGCAGTGGATCAAGAAAACTTCTTTGCATGGATTCACGGGCAGCAGTCCTGGGTTGAGTTTCATGTTGTTGTAGTTGTACAACGTATGAGCTATCAGAGTGGTACAATAAAAACCAAGCCAGCAAAGGATTCCCTATAATGTAGAGCTGGAATTTATCCAGAATAATTCTATGAGGTACACCAACAAAAGCTGTAGGTATATCGAGATAGATGACAAATACAGATAAGTCACGATCTTGCGACTTAATTACCGAATTAGAATTTGCAAGTGAGGCTCAGGAATCCATGCTCTGAATAGACTTGTTACAATTCAAGGCAGTAAGTGATCTTTATCTGACTCTCTGTAGTGTTTGATAGGGCTGACATGTAACTAATCAATCGACAGTCCTTACATTAAATGATGAAGCTGTCGTTGGACGCCGCATCACTACGGCTTCCTTACACAGACGGTATAGCACCGGGTTCTATACTTAGGGTATCTACATTCAGCATTGGTGTAGGGTGTCGCAGCCAACGAATTAGATGATAACAGATGGGGAATTATCCGGACCAGTGAAAGAGAAGATTTTAGGGACATCCTAAGCTCGAATCGGATGATGCTGAGTTGATATCTTGGTCGCACGTGCATTAATTTTGTTGCATGAGGAAACGAAGTAAAGGTAAACAGTTTGATTATATAAATCGGACCATTTACTTCGCAGTTATCTGTTAACAAAAGAGAGATGGCGTCCAGCTTCTGTTTGGCCGTTTTTTCCTTCGACAGCCTGGTTAGTTAATGCTCTTTACTTTTATCATCAACTGCTCACTTTTCTTCGTCAGTTCTCATAGTTATATGGGCCCTTTACATTTATAGCTAACCTTTGTGCTGCGTTAAGAAAAAGACGTTGTTAAATTTGCCATATGCCTTGAGCAACTTTGAGCATTAGAGCTAATTTATGCTTCATAGTTTCACCGCCACCGATGACTACTATTCGTCATAACATACATCGACGCATTTATGGAGCAGTGGGGATTGTTGTACTGCTCTTCCGCAGCCATCGTCTGGTCACTAGCGAAGAAAGATGTGCCGCGTTAAACGAATCCGAGGAACATGGTCAGCAGGTCCCAGTTGGCAGTTCTATTGGAACAGAATTACTATTGCTTTGATCCTATACGAATGGTTTAGTTGCCCGGCATTAACTTTGAACGAGAAGACAATAACTATGTGATCTCAAGCTGGGGAATATCCCGGAAACTGGACGGAAGCAACTGATAGGACGCTGATGAAGATCAGATCAAAAGTGTGGTTCTTCCTATTGTGAGACAACCTGCATAGTGTATCCACAAATATCATGCATGCAAATTGGAGAGGAGGCACTTAAATTTATTCGGGAAAGAAACTAAGGGCCATGATAGATCAGGCAGCTTGAAGCTTCGCTTTAATATCTTGTATTTTGCGGGTTGGTATACAAGGTGGCACAACAGAGAGTGTAACTCACATACGTGGGTTTAGGCGACAAAACCGGACAATAATGAAAAAATTTACTGGTGAACACTGAAGAAGACGGAATCTTCGAAGCATCCCTTACCGTGCACACGTGGTATCGAAACGTAAACTGACTTAGGAGTGTCTTGTATCGGCCAGTATTTATTAAAATTAGTGTGTTAGAGGGAAATGTAATTGATCGTAGGGTATTACTTTGTTTCTGAGGCAGCGTGTATCTATTAGTGGAATATGCCTGGACTATCGTTGGTGAAACAGCACCAGTGTCTTCTGAAACGGTGATGCAGTTTTAACTACGTCAGTTCACAGGTGATCTGTGATTTCTCTACGGAATTTTCGGAAATACCATGGTAATGATCTGTAGGTAGAGAAGTTACGTGTAGGATTGGAGAAATCGACTCTACTGCTAATAACTACCGGAGTAGCGACAATTTATCCCTTATGACCCCTGGCAGACCTGGAGGCAATTATCTAATTGGGGCATTGAGTGCAAATTTGCGGCGGGAATGATACTGAGCCAGCCTTGTAATGTGGACAAAGTGTAGGAACAGTCGCACCATATAGTAGCCTTAGGTCTAACGTGCCGTTTTAGTGATTGGCTGCAATGCCATCGTCATTTACGGGGCTCCATAGCCTACTAATCATAGCAATAACCACGATTCACATTGTGCCGTGTTTGAATCTCACCTCAAGCTATCTGATGAGTCCAAACGAGGGGGAAATGCACCTTGGAGTGCAGGGGTGGGAGAGCGCAAAACCGAAACGCTCCACATCGTAGGAAAATATTGTTTTATAAGCGTCTGCCTAAGTATTGTATAATTTACGGAGCAGTGGTATCAAATTGTTTGTCCCGCTGGTATTGCTTGTATTCTTTAGTGGTTTCTAGTAGACGGTAGGCGTTATTATCCAGGAGATATTTTTCCTGATGCCATTACTTTTAGGGTAAATAACCAGCCTTTCGGGGCTAATTGGTCTCTTATAAAACTCAACTAGCGGTGCAACAATAGATCAATAATTTATAGTGAGTGTAAAAGCAATCTCCTGACAAGCCCCGCTGGATGGTTAGGGTGGAAGTTACAAGATAGAAACATACTTCGATTAAACAGCATGCAGGATACATGACCCACAAAGAGGTTTGCACGAGCGCAGGTGCACATATGCCTAGCTAGATGTTAAAAGGATAATAACACCATACACCGGTTGTCTGCATTAATGCCATTATCTGATTTTTCGTGGCCTCTTTTACGTAGTGCAAATGCGTCGGTGGGTTGTCAAGTCGTCTGTTGGATAGTTCAAATGTAAGAGCAAAAGTTACATGCACTTGGAGGAAGTTCTAGACTGGGACACTCGGAGGGAGATAACGTTCCTTCGACATGCCAGTCAGCTGGATTGCGTGGCGACATTAAGCTGATGACCTCTCAGAGATGTGTTGTGGCTAAGTGGTAAGTATGGTGAGGGTTCTCCAAGATCTGATACACGATTATGAGATCGCGCCATGGACACCGCTGATGTCCGTTGTACATATTCCGTTTTTATCCTGCGTGGACAGAACTTAGGCCAAACTTTTTCCGTGATTTGTCGCCCTGCCTTGCGCAGTATGAAGCGCGGAGAGGCAGCTCTTCTGGCAGACTTGCCAAGTTTGGATAGCAATCTTAAGTACTCAGCAAACATTTTCGGAAAGACTGACTCGTCGGACTTCCAGAAAGCTCTGCAAATAAGGCTTTGCTTGCTTGATACATTTTAGTCTGTCTCAAACAACGAAGGCCATATTGCAGGAGCACGCCGAGATCGCACTCATGAGAAAAGCGTTGTAGATTTGATGCATCTAGTCGGTAGTTGGGAATACTCGGCGTATGCACAGGATATTTTACTTGGTGGCGTTGAACTGTGACATGCTCTCGATGGACCATGAGCAGTATGCATTACACAGGTCATTTTGTAGGGCTATGTGACCCTGCACTAGTGATACCCCAACATATCACCAGATCCTTGGTGAATAGTATGAAAATCGAAGAGGACGCTCTCATCAGTAATTTACGTAGGCAGGACCTGGATACCGTGTCTTGATGTACGCCGAACTGCAACTCTGCTGTTTCGGATAGAGTACTGCGTACCTTCAAATGCAGTAAACATTGAAAGAGAAAGTTGCCTAGTTAATCCAGAACGGGATCATTGACTCCATACATCTGAAGCTTTTGCAGTAAAATGCCATTTTCCACACAGTCGAATGCCTTCGGGAAATCCATGTGGGTGGAGTCTACTCTTACACAGATTCTGTCCATCATGCACGAGTGAACAAAGGTTAGTAGTACAGGACCGGTTTTAGCAAAGTCCATGCTGATCCGGAACAAACATTTTCTTTTTTCAAATACCTTATGAGCGCCTAGCTACTAAGACTTCCACGATCTTGGAGCTCACCGGGAGTAGTGCTATCAGGCGACAATTTGCTCTTTCTGCACGGTGGAGTTTTGTCACCAAGTGCAGTTAGTGGAAGTCCTCACATAGCATGGCAGATCGAATAACAACTTTGTCTCCAATATAGGGTAGAGAGCATCCAGGCTTAGCAAACTTTCTATACAACCTTTATTGTCATTGTATACGGTAGTTTAAGAACATAGAACATAGTATAAATCAAGTAAAACGATACCGATAACTATATATAACGGGCTTGGACAAACGAACATCAAGCCCTCTAGTTGGAATACAGTAGGTACATTTGTATTCTGCTACGCACGCCAACATCGCATCTATCCAACTTTAAAATGATACAGACAGAACTGTCTTTCTAATTTTCGTCTATATGGCAGTCCACAGACTCGCATCAGCTGTCCTCTGAGAACATACACTCAACAAGCTGCAGCGGGTTAACGTCCTCACGGGTCCACCGAACCAATATTTCCGAGAATCGAACTGAACTGACAAATCATATCAAGCGTCCGATGAATGCGTTCATGATATGGGCAAGAGAAGAGAGGAGAAAGATTCTAAAGGTGAGCCTTTTCCGACAGAACCTACAATCACTAGTTGTGTCAAGAAGCTCTGATAACACATACAACCTATTTACAGTTGGGTAGAGGACTCTACTTACAATACGAAAGAGATTAAAGACCGATATTTCATGTTGATAAGCCAAAATATTCCGTTTACTGTGCTGAAGCGATAATACATTAAAAACATCTAGTTACTGCAGTATAATCATCTACGAATAATGTCATAATTACACTTCGACCAGTTAACCTAAATCAAACTGTTGTCTTGGAAATTATACTGATAATACTCAAAAATATAGTTGACGCATTGTTAATACAGCTTCTATTTGGCCACTCTTTTCTGCTGTTAGCTGTCTCCATCTAAAAGGTTCCGCAAACTATTCATTTTGTTTGCTTTTGCCGACATAACCACACTGTGGACATATTTGATTTGATTACGATTTAAGACAATGTTTTTATCAAAGATTGCAAGCTGCACTTATAAGACTTGAGAACGCTGCAAACGAATTTAGAAGCGCAGTGCTAACTTCTCAATTTCGAAGTCCACCCAGGTTGTCTATAAATTACTCGGACGAAGACTGGAATTTACCACAAATTTTCACAACAAACTAGTCTTTTCCACCTAAGTTTTTAGATAACTCATAGCTGCAATGAGTTATACAATAAATTTTTGGAAAACTGTGCGCAGCAGGAGATTCACATGACTCGCTGGCTATTCTCAGGTTAATAATGACAGAGAAACATTACTGTACATTTGTTGCTTACTGCTGTCTTCATTGGTAAAGTCTGCATGCTGATGTAACTTTGAGAGCTCGGTGTTGCGTGACCTGTCACGCGTGGTAGCGCGACAGTAACCTAAGATGCAGAGGGGGGGGGATGGACTGGACTATCTCGTAATTACATTTCAATCCATGATGGTCAGCTATCCTCCCCATCGCTCAGGGACATAAACTGCTTGCCAGTGGTGTAAGCCAATATTGGTCATGGGTTCAGTTCCATGTAAGGATTTGACGGGATCCAAGAGATTGGAACGGTAGTACGGTGCGGCGAACTGAATAAACTGCCTCAACCCCACACTGAAAAGTAGTTTCTAATAGAAACCTGTCTTTTTGAGTTTGCATTAAACGGTGATAACATCCAGGATGGCGCTGCGATCCGGACAAGCACTCCTCTGAAGACAGCGTACACGCAGCAGAACTACTTTTGCATAGATCGACAAGACCGTTGCTTAAGTGTTCGAGTGAGCTGCTGGTATTTGGCGTGGTATTCATGTAAATTTACCTGTAACTGGGAAGACAGCAATGCCAGGCACATTGACCAAATTTTGCTTGTCGGAAACGATGAGCACAATCCCTAGTGACCACCCAGCAAACGGGAGCTTTGGAAACGGATTCGAGTGAATGGACTAGTCAAGATGCGTCGGCAATCACAGGGTTTTGTTGAACACCTGCCACCAAGTTAATCCAAAGAGTCAAATAGCTTTCTGACGGGCATCAGAAGCCCCCTACTCTTACCGTGTTGGAATCTGTGGCACAAGTTGAGAATGGTCGCCACTCTAGGTACAGAAACAACTGACCGTTAAGTTAAGTCAGCCGTCGTCGCACCAAACTAACTGAATTAATATTGTTTGGCTACCAATCAGCGACTGAATGAACTTTCTGCATTCCCTATAGTTATGTTCATACCTGTGATCGACAAGCATGTGCAATGTGACTGATTCATCTTACGACTTTGTACTTTAATGCTCCGAGTTGGAATCATGTGACAAAGCAAAAGAAACATTTCACCAACTAATCAGTGGCCGCAGAATTTACCTTCTTCGAACGCCTTTCATATTTTTCCCAAAGATTTTTATATTTGTGCACTAAATGTTCCATAATTAATTAACCCAAGATACTGACTTTGTCATTGTTACGGCATTTCAAGGAGGCCAAAGAATTTCAAACAAAGAACTATGTATGTCTAGCTACATTAAAAGCGTAGCAAGAAATATATGTACCACAGTGTTATAATAAGTTCCCTTTGGTTTTATGCTCATAAAGGAAAAGAAGCTTAAATTGCGCTAAATAAAGATGAACTGCTTCTCTCTGTGGTCTGCGAGAGTTACGGGCTCTCATGAAAGCGTAACAACATTGGGTGAGGGGCAGGATATCAATTTAGCCAACAACTGCCCAGATAGCTTTGAAGGTATGTGCGTTTGTTTGTTTACACTGATCAGTTCCACAAACGGGCACTGTTTATTCAACAGCCATTTCACATATCTCGGCTGTTAATTATGCTAATAAACCATTTACCACACAGACGAACCGGTATGGTAGCCAGACCCAAGATAGGTAACAATCAGTGAAGGTGCACGCATAAATGCCTTCCCCTGTGTGTAGTTGCTTCCACTTCAATGACATGGTATTTAAACTTGGCTGAGACGCATTTTCTTCGTCTGTTAAAATTTTTCCATAGTTGTTTGTATCAACACTCCGGAAGATAGTTGCAAGTGTTTGTGGGCATGAATGCGGGGATGTATACTCAACTATCCCTTGCATGAAAGGAATTTCAATCCTCTTAATGTTCAGAGAATGAAACCGTCCCTCCACCCCGACCGCACACAAGTGAAGGCATTGACAGACGTGACCGCTGAACCGTTACGCGTTTTTTCCATTCTTTAGGAAACGGTAAATATTTATCAGACGAAGCTGAAGTGCACGTATAATAGACCATGGCTGTTATGGACGCCCACTCCAGTGTCTTTTTAAGGATTTGGTAATTATCCTAATTATACATTTCGTAGGAAGAGGCAACGATGTCCACGAACCACAAGCGGCGATGGCCACAATGGATGAATTCAATAAACACTTCCCATTCTCAACGCTAATTTTAACTTACCACTTTTTAAACAACAAACGGATAGAGTAATTAGTCAGTTTTATTCTTTTTACATGTTGTCTGTGACCCAGCATAGAGCACTGCGGTATTATTTTGTGTTGGTGATTAAGGTTCTCATAAGGTTCCGGAATTTTTGTATACCATACACTGGTTGATTATACTTCCTTTATTAACTTACCCTTATAGTGTCACATTTGTCTAGGTCTAAGTCACAGAGCAAAGCGAGTAACCTACTGCACTTACTCATTCGAGATGGCCAATATGAGTTGCCAAATACTAAGTTTTCATAAATGACCAGTGTGTTGTAAAAGATGTTCATATTTTTCCATGGTTGAATGCTTCCAAGGCTTACTTTACCTCTTTCGTCGATGACAAATCTGATATCATAATTGGATTTATGGCTGGTTGGTCAGGCAACAAAAATTACTTGGCCGAAAAGCGATCCTTTTCACTGATACCTGCTATTTGGTGTTCACTTTCGAATTCACGAATGAGCTACTATTTGGATTGAGTAGAACATCACTATATGCTTAAGCGAACGTTCGGTGCAATAGTTAAATCAAAAGTATATAGATAGGTGATATTTTATCTTATCAAGACTCTCTACATTGTAGTTGAACTAACTGCGGTAAATGCGACTGTGACCGTGACTAGATGCTTAGAATTGTGTCAAATTCATGTGCGTCACTTCAGTATTGACTTCCCCGCTATGGCAAGGGGCTAAACGACCGCTGTTTGGACAAGCTTGGACTATTGTTTGCAAATAGAGTCTGGATGAAAATGAGCAGTTAACGTTTGAGGATGCCCACTGTCATCCATGGCATTAACAGAAATATGCGCGTCACAAGTTGTAGGCTACCTACCTCTGACTTTCCTGAACCGTATAGTAATCTCTAAGTTCCAGGTTCATTCGTACTTCTTATTGATAGTTAATAACTTACTAATTCGGAACACCTATTTCCAGCTTCGACGCAGCCGGTACTGTTGCTTGTATGAAACAGTCAAGTACAGCTAGCGACGTCGGTCCTTTTGCTCCGCCACGTAGACGGAGCTGGCACAACTGGTTACCGTCTGCAAGATTCGTAGCATTGAAGAGACATACATTAAGGACCTGCGAAATTTGGTGCGAAATGTGGCCACGTATTATACTCAGCAGTTTTTGCTTGGTTTGTTTTTGTTTGGCACACGTGGATATCTCCTCTAGATTCGCCGTCTTAGAGACCCAAGAAGACTTAGAACCAACCCTGAGTTTTTTGAAGTCAGTCCGCACAAGCCTGTAACAATGTCATGTAATTGAACAGGACGTTCTTATATCCAGACGTTGTCCTGAGTCAGTGACTACTTATCATTTCAGTATGTAAGGACAATGTTTGATGCGGTACCATTCGATGAAGAACTGGTGGAGCTAACGTCAATGTTGACTACTAAAGCAGCGATATTTGGGCACAATCAACACAAACGTCCCAATAAGTCTCCTTATGGTAGCACGACGGTCGCGAAATAACTGCTGCGACAAATTTCGTTGGTACCCTTATCCCACTCTAGATCCAAGTATTGAACCAGTTCAGTGACAAAACGGGAAGCAAGACCTCCAAAGCACAACTATTCTGATCACCACCTTGACTACTTATTGAATTCTGTTGACGGCTTCCATTACCCCGTCAGTCATAGTTGCAATAGCAGCAAACAGCGCGCATAAAACGATCACAGGGGTCTTAGACACTCCTGAAGCTAGGACACTAATACTCATTCCAGTGAAGGAAAGGATAGCGTTTGCATATCTCGTACAATTTTCGATGTCGAAACGACGCCAATTCCCACCACCATACCTGCAAATCCAACCTCACTGGTTCATGTAGTTGATGAGGATCTAAAGGATGGCAAAGCCATCCATTTATCTAGTTGGTCAAACAGTCATTCAGCCTTAAACAATTAGTTTTGCAAGCATATTTTCGGCGATGCAAGATATGTAGTTTGCATGTGAAAGCTAAAACAACAGACGAATTCAGCGACGGAACTATACTCTTTCAGCTTGGTATCATTTCGCTATTCAGTGAAGAAAATCCCAGTGCCATTTAAGCGAAAAATTTCAGACATAAACAAACACATTTATTAGAATGAATCAAGGGAGACAGAATCTGTTATTAATTCTTTTCGGTTATCCTCATCAGACTCAAACATTACTTAATGACGACAAAGTGCTAAATGTGTCGGATTGGACTACATATTGATCAGAATGTTTGATTCCAACAGGAACAAATCAATAAATGAAGGGGTCCTTAAGGGTGGCAAATTATGTGCAGGGGAAAATCACAGCAGAAGTAGTAGGCCAATAATAATAATAATAATAAGGATAACTGGGAATTTTTGCATTGTTGAAGATCAGCATTCCCCGTGATTCAGTCCAGCGTTTTGATGAGTATAAATGCGTTTCCCGTTTCCTTTGTATTAGCATTCCAAGCCAAGTGACTGACCAGTTTGTCTTCATTAAAATGTCAAGCTGGCAGGACGACTCAACAAGGGTACAGCCAACTCAAGCTAAAATTATTTCGTGCATGCTGAATTTCTATCATCAAAAGCACGCAGATTTGAGGCTGCATTAAATGTCCCGTAAAACAAACGCCGTTCGAATCAATTAATTGCTTGTTTTGTGAGTTGAATGTACTGCGCAGCGGTCGACAATCTAGAATACCAGATTGTTTTTTGATGAGTGCTGATCTCAGTGACAGGATAAACTTTCCTGTCGGAGTGGTTTACTCATATTTATAATTGCGATGCGTGATGAAACATCTATCGGAGTCTGATGTGTAGGGTTGCTTTATGATCCAAACACAAACATCCGGTAACATTGTTGCATCAGAACCCTTGGAATATACTTGGAAACGATGGGGAAGTCATGATTTCTGAAAGAGTTCTGAACAATCGGTTAGTGTATTTGATTGTTAACCTTTCACTTTTGACATAAAAGCTTCGTTGCATCAGTTTCTAGTAAAGTGAATTGATCTTATCGGTGGAGTCTAGATTTTGACCGTCATCGCTACTCATCAATATTTTTCACCAAAGTCCATTCGGACCATCTGAAAGTGCTTGTAATTAATAAGTAAAGAACTAAAGCATCGTTTTTATTTATCAATTCCCTTTTTTATGCTCTTTATCATTTCCTTGTTGGCCACGAACGGACTGGTTTCCTGAGGTGCCGGATTACAGCTTCCAAGGTAAAATGCCTGTACCAATGCGAGGAATATTGCCTCTGACTCACTGGTACTGTTGACTGTGAAGCAGCGCACTGTCATCATTATGAAATACAGAAAAGAAGTGCATGCACAAAATTGACAAATGATAATCGGGATGAGTGAACCGATTGCCTGAATGCTGAAAAACGGCTCTGTACTATGTAAATAGATGATGGCGTAATTGTCACCTTGCCATATCGGCATACAGCCAGTTGGGGCATTGAAGTGCAGGTGAAGGCTTTCGGGGGAATATCCTGCATGGAGGTAAGTCCCATGGAGACAGTTCCATGGATAGCAGTAGTACTTTACATGAACTTTTATTTACATAAGCATTCGCCTTTGTTCCCGGTTTCTTAATAATCCTAATAATATCAAGTTGATAAAATAATGTTAAAAATTCTGTTTGGAATGCAAGTATAAAGCGTGAAAAATTGTCTATTTTGTGCTACTTCCATGTATAACATGAACAGATCTGTCAATTGCACTGTCCCTCGCTCCGTGGTGGAATACACCGTTTACTTACTTACTTAATTATTTATACGATGCACTACCTCACTTCAATGGACCTGCTAAACTTCAAACGATTTCAGTGATAGGCTGAAGACGACGGTCGTTGTCTTTTACTTTCTGATGGGAGGGGAGAGACACGACTTACATTGCATGTTGACAAATCTAGGTGCTTCCAACTCAATAATGAAAATAATAATAATAATGTGTCAGCTGTACGCCGTAACGGCGCTTCGCTGCCACCACCAGTCGCGCGCGGGCTGAGTATACCGCGAGGACGTCCACCCCTACGCGGATTCCAACCGGTGACCTTATGGTTGCAAAGCAAGTGTGCAGACCACTTGGCCACCGGCCGACTTCCAATTCAATAGCTACCAGAATATCTATTCATTGGTCGATGTAATACATTAAGATTAGGATAATCCAAAAGCTTCTTTTCATGCATTCAACTGATGCGGGTGAAGCGCTTTTAATTGCATTCAGTGAATTCCGCTAGCTTAATAACATGTCATTATACTCCTAAACGCAACAGGCTTACCCAGATATGCACAACAGCAATATATCGAAATTCCTGGGCACAAAATGGAAGGCAATGAGCACCGAATCCAAACAACCATACTACGAGGAACAAACACGTCTGAGCAAGCAACACATGGAAGAGCATCCCGCGTACCGATATCGTCCAAGGCCAAAACGAACTTGCATTGTGGACGGGCGGAAAGTGCGAATTTCGGAGTACAAGGAACTAATGCGTTCGCGTGGGGACGTAGGCAAGAAACATTTCACTGCTTCGCCTGATATTCAGGCGCAAAATGTGGTCGAGGAGATTACTGGTAAGTTCACGGTTGTCGTGAAATTATGGCCAATAATGAAGATTTCAATATATTCATATGCCTTGGTGCAGATTTTTCTTGTTATTACTGCACACTCATAAATTAGAAAATGTTACGGGCAATACAAAGATTTCAATAATTCTACGGAGCTGCATGATCAGTTTATAGAAGTTGTGGTTATTTAGATAAGAGTTTCATAACCACCACGCAAGACACATATTAGCTCTTACACGGAATCTTGGACAAACTGGAAAACAGTCTCAAAGCGTGATATATGGCACTATTATTTTCAGAAGTATCCTCACCTCGGAAATACAACTGGACACAAATGCAACCACCTCATAAATCCAAGTAAATAAAGCTAGCGATTCAAACTGCCCATCAGTCAGTAGTTATAAATTTGATAATTAAAATGGAAGTTTCGCAAACAACCCTGGATGTTTTGCAAAACACTCTGGGCGTGATGCAAAGCAAATAAGCATTTCACAAAATGCATTATGATCCAGGCAGTAAATCAGCAATTCGTTGGAAACAAATGGGCTGTAAAGTGACTGGCTTATGTTCAGACTACATTGTAGTCATGTTAATGCAGCCGAATTGTGTAAGCAGCAGGAATTACCACAAATACTTCTCTTGAACGTGAACCTGGACCAACTCAATCAAAGGCGATGACGGAGTATCCCCTCCCTCCCCATTGGTTTTCGTGTAGTTAATGTGCCTCTGAATTTACACATGGGTCTGTGTAGCTATGCGACCGTTGGGAAATCAGATTCCCGAATCACGCAGTCTACTGTGACTTAAACCAAAGTTGCCTAGCTTTAGAGAGTCATTGTGCAGCACGTGAGTTGTGAATGACTTGCGATACACAATCTCAAGGTGGACCACGATTCCCACTGAATTAAACCTTGAGAAATTCGAGAACATGGACCGTAACTGATGAAGCAGATAGGTGGCGACCCAGTAATCCCCTGTCACTCTATGAGCCTACGCGTATTTCCTTGGATGTGTGAGCGAACCTGTATATCTTTTCGATAATTGGAACAGCGTAAGCTATGATGAATCCAAATAAACCGGTCCAAGTTTACTGGTCTACTGCTTCAGTTTGTTCCCAAGGCAGGAAAGGAAGACGGCAAGACGATGTGTAGATCACGTTGTGGTCACGCGAACGCAACGGGACTACAAACAGCTGACGATTGCGAAAATCTCCCACTTGATAATTGGAGTCCATCACCTCGAGCAAAGCCGGTTACCAAGCTATATCCTGTGGATCTATAGGCATTCACTCATTTCCTGTTAGTGCATAGGCGATGCTGATCAACTGCTTTATTGTTGGAACAGTGGAGGATGTTACGAATGCAAGTAAACCGGTCTAGTTTTCTGGCCTAATGTTACAGTTTGTTGTTAAGGGCAGCCGGGTAAGATGACTGGATGATTTTCTGGCCACATTTTGGTCATGCAAATACAGCGGAACTGTGCAAGCAGTGGACAATGGTGTAACCCTTTCACTTGAGCATAGGAGTATTCATCTCCATCGCAGCCAGTGAAACATTTCGTCCTTCCACACTATGGGCTTTCGGGCATTTTATGTGGGTGTTTCAATAGTTTGTGATGGGATAAATGCATAAAGTTACAAGATCCACAGGATGGATATGCAAAATAAAATAAAAATGCTCCAACTTGGAAATGGAAGTGTCAGTGGTTAAACCATTGCACTTTTTCAAATTGTTTGCAGCTTTGGTCACTAAGATGAAATTCTAAGAGTCTTTCGAATGTCGTCATGTCTGTTTCGTTCACCACATATCTTGGTACTGCATTCCAGTGAGAACCTTACCGTGGTGCGATGGTTTGTGTGCCTCAGTGATCCATTGAGCTATGCTGGGTGGTGCTTTTGCACCTTTAGAGCAACTCATACCAGATTGGTCAATGGTTAGAGGCCAGACAAACTCAGCCTCCTGGTCCTCCAGGTTGGGGTTTGGAATGTGAGTGGCACCTTATTTCTTAAAACGGACTCCTCGTAGCCCAACGCCAAACCCGCTGCCTTGCGGTAAGGTTTTTGAACCAAAGGCTTTGGTTGAGAACCCTAATCGTTCTCCTGTCTAGGCTTTGGCAACCTGACAGTATCCTGCTCACACAATACCATGAATCTTACCTCAAAAAATTGCTGATGCTCTGGCCACCGCAGAGGATAATCAACGGTGCCCTATCTGCTGCATCGAGCAGGGTGGATAGGGGTTTGGATGCTACCGCTCAAGCCTTCCCTTCTTCTTATTTACCATCTTACGCTTTTTCACTCTTACCGTCCCCTTCCAACTTCACTTATATCGCTCCAGTTTTCAACCCCCCCGATTCTTGGCCCTCCCCCAACATGCTCTGCTGGGCATTTACCTTCGAATTTCAACTCACATATGAACGCGGAGCGTCACTCCTCTTCTGCCGACAAGGCCATGTCCAAACAAGCGGTCCATTCCAGTTCATCGGCTTCCATTTGGAGCCCTCGATCTTCCTTCACCTTGACATGCCTTAATGTACGCACACTACTACAAATCGGTCAACAGGCAGCACTTGCCCGAACATTGGAGACCCTCTCGGTCGTTATCTGCTGCTTATCAGAGACTCGCCTGAAAGACTCGAGCTCTGCTCACTCTGCGATCCCCTCCAGGTAATGCAAGCAGTGTTTTCTCAGTGCGCCTATCCGGTGACGATGCAGCTTCAAGCACCGGCCAAGCTGGTGTTGGCATTGCCCTGAGTCCCCGGGCTGAGGCTGCTCTGGTTGATTGGATTCCAATCATTAGCCGGATGTGTGCGGTCCGATTGGCTGGCTCGTTTAAAGCTTCGAAGTCGCGCATGACTAATAGGTGTCTATTCATCATTGCTGCCTACGCGCCCACAAACTGTAGCGATGATTCGGTAAAGAACGACTTCTACCGCCAAATGACTCAGCTCCTTCGCCACAGAAGAAGCACGGACACTGTTGTGCTGGCGGGGGATTTGAATACACAAGTTGGAAAGTTGTCCGCTGATGAAATCCATCTGGGCGGTCAGCCCGGTGTAGGCTCCCGTAATGATAACGGTGAGCGGTTACTTCATTTGTGTGAAGATGCTCGCTTATTTCTTGCGAGCACTAATTTCCGACGCAGCACCCGCCGGAGGGTGACTTGGCGCCCACCAGCCTCGAACCAGCCTTGGACGCAGATCGATCACATTGCTATTAGTTATCGCTGGAGAGGCTGCATCCAGAATTGTCGCTCGATTTGGAGCACATGTGTGGACACCGATCATGCACTTGTATGTACTGACATGCGGATGCGCTTTGGCGGACGCCCACGAGGACGCTGTGAGCGTATTGACACCAGCCAACTGACAAAGCCAGCTGTTCTGAATGCGTATCAAAGTACGCTGATACGCGAGTTGAGTAATCGCTCACTGGAGACAATTGATGGCTACTGGTCACATCTTTGCCAGACCTAACTAGCAGCAGGCAAATCCTCATGTGGTATGTCTAAAAGCCAACATGAACATTGGATCTCTTCTCGGTCTCTGGAACTTATGGACGCTCGCCGGCATATCCCGGCTGGAAGCGAGCACAAGGAAACTCGCAAAAAGCTCCGGGAAAAAGTCCGCGCTAGCCTGAAGAGAGACCGCGAATCTTAGTGGTCTCATCGTGCGTCAGAGATGGAAGTGGCCGCTGCTCTTGGCAACCATCTTAACTTATTCCGTCTTATACGGGAAACGGGCAGCAGGAGACCTGGTGTTAGTGAACCAATTTGTGATGAGAGTGGACAGCCTATCCACAATTTGTCAAAACCTTTGGAGCGTTGGGCTGAGCATTTTGAAAAGCAATTTAATCGGCTAGAATTGTTCGATTCGCCGGTCACTGATCGCCCTGCTCCGTGAGTTGTCCCTTTGGATCCACCCTCTTGCCCAGAAGTGGAACGTGAGATCGGACTGTTGAAGTTGAACAAAACCGCGGGACCACATGATCTTCCTCCAGCCTTCTTCAAATTCGGTGGTTCTGCTATTGTTGATGCTTTACATGAATTACTAGTGAAACTGTGGGAGCAGGAGACTGTCCCAACCGACTGGAGCTGCTCCGTTATTGTTCCCATCTTCAAAGGCGGCTTCCGCTCGGAATGCGGCAACCATGGAAGAATCAGTCTGATCTCCATCACCTCCAAATTACTCGCCTCCATAATTATTCACAGACTGACTGGCGCTCGTGAAAGCCAGATTCGTAAGGAGCAAGCCAGGTTTCGTCGTGGTCGTGACTGCATCGACCACATCTTTACCTTGCGTCAGTTGTTGGAGCACCGCCACACATATTGGCTGCCCACCCTAGTTGTGTTCCTCGACATTAAAGGTGCCTTCGATTCGGTTGATCGATGTGCCCTTTGGAATTGTCTACTCAGGAAAGGTGTGCCCGAGAAATATGTAAATATTATCCAAGCATTATATGCGCGTAGCACGGGCAGAGTGAGGACTTACGGCAAGCTGTCGCCACCCTTTAATTTCTCCAGCGGTGTGAGACAAGGATGCCCGCTGTCACCTTTCCTCTTCAACTTCGCTATTGACGAAGTCATGGAGTTTGCATTTACAGGACTTGACTTGGAAGGTGTGGAGCTACTCTCAGGAGAACGACTTCTTGACTTGGAGTATGTAGACGACATTGCCCCCATCTGTGACAGCTTCCAGTCGTGCCAAGCCGCGCTTGACAGATTAGCACTGGCTGTCAGCCGCTTCGGGCTTTGCTTTGCACCATCGAAGTGCAAAGCGTTCCTTCAAGATTGGCAGGGATCGCCTCCTTCGCTGACCCTTGGTGGGGATCAGCTAGAAGACGTTCAGAAATTCAATTACCTGGGAAGTTGTATCAGCGCCCTTGGGATCGAAGACGAGATCACGAACCGTATAGCGAAAGCACGAAGTGCTTTTGCTGACCTTCGCCACCTATGGCGGCGGCGCGACATCACTCTCGCCTTGAAGGGTAGAGTGTACAGTGCAGCGAT